GGGGCCCTTTGCCTTGGGAGACCTGGTCCCCTGTCCCTGGCTGTCCCCGGCTGTCCCCTGTCTACCCACCCACGGGTCTCCCCCACCCGTAGGTGCTGGAGAAGGGCTCGTTGGTCCCTGCAGGAGCAGGGCGGGGGGGTCCCAGCACCTTCCCAGCACTGGGAGATGCAGGCTGCAGTCAAGCTCCTTCTAGCTCAGTTTTGGAAGGGGGGATTTGCAAGTCAGTTCCATCTACCTGATGGGGACCCTGGGCTTGACCACCCTCAGGGAGGGGAGCTGGGACCTCAGCTGGCACCACCCCGTGCCCTCCCCGCTCTGCTCTGGGGATGCTGGGGGGCAGGATGGGACTCCCACGAGGTGGAGGAATGATACTGAGGCAAACCCCAGCACCGGCGAGCACATCCCCGCACGCCTCTGCTGCAGGAACCCCTGGGGAGCCTGCCCCTGCTGCCTGCCCCATCCCAGCCCGCAGGCAGCACTCGCCGGAGCAGAGGCTGCTCTTCCAGCCTGGCTGGCGAAGGCGGTTCCTCTCCCTACCGAAGTCTCAAGCTTTTTATTTCCCTCCCCTTTTATTTTTTTTTTTCTTGGTTTTAAAAACAAAAACGCCGTGTTCCTGCGGAGCAGAGCAGCCGGAGTCGCTCTGGTAAAAACCCTGCCCCAACTCACACGGAAGTTGCTACAGAAATAATAATCAGGGCTGAGAAAGTCCTGCCACATTGCCCTTCGCTGAGCTTTGTTTGCACTGATTTATTACCACCTAATGCCAAAACTTCGTGGCTCTCCGGTCCTGGGCAGCCAGGCTTAGCACGAGCCCCGTTGCCGGAGCTGGAAATGCTGGTGACTCCGCACCATTCCCGGGATGCAGGATGCAACCTCAGGGCAAGGTGCTTCAGGTCCTTTGGGCATCGCGTGGGCAGTGTAACGTGTCTGAGCAGGCAAAAGTTGGAGGCATTTCCTTGAACTTGCTGCCAGGCCATTCGTGAAGCGAGCGTGCCCCGTCTCAGAGGTGCTTTGTCAGGCTGGCAGCCGCGACAGTGATGCTGGTGGCTGCAGCGGGGATGGGGTTTTTGCCGAATTTGCCCAGCAAATTGCCCAGCAATTTGCACAGCACCCTGTGCCCAGCAAGGAGCCACAGGTGCAGCGTCATGCTTGGGCTGGGCTCTTTCGGGAACTGTGACTGCCTTCCTGTAAATGCCCTGGTGAGGAAGAGAGCGGCTGAGCCTCCCCGGGCAGCGGCCCAGCTCGGCACACCCACGGGGCCCCGAGGGAAGGGAAACGCCGGTTGCACAAGCTTGGGTGCTGCCTGCACTGCCTGCGCAGGCAGCCTGACGGGCACGGGCAGGCTTAGGGAGCCAAATCACGGTTATGGGGCTGTCAGACCCCCGACGGCTCCAAGCCATCCCAAGACACTGGCTCCACACCACGCTGGCAGGACCAGGGTGCTGGGGCACACCCCAATGTAACTGCATCCTGCTGTGAAAGGTGCTGGGTGGGCCAGCCTGGAGGACCTCGGCATGGCGCCTTCCCTGCGTGCAAAAGCAGGAGCAGGATTGTGCTGACTTGGCAGCAGCAGCATGAAAGTTGCTCAGGATAGGATTTGGCTGGCTCTGTCGTCTGCGTTCCCCGGCCAAGGGTCAGCTGGCATCACCTCTTCGCTGGGCCTTGGGATTCACAGCCTGGTCCGGGGACCGTGGGGACAGCCCCGAGCCCCTTCCCGCAGTGGGATCCCCCATCCCTCCCCCCTGAGCTCTGGGCTGCCTCATCCTTCACCATCTCCTGTTGTTGGCTGCAGTCCTCGATCTCCTTGGCCCCAAATCCCCATGTAGGTGTTTCATGCTGGCAAGAAACACGGGGCAGTGTAATTAGGACAAACACCCATTAAGCATTAATTAGATGTGGGGCTGGGCTGTGGGGGATGCTGCCAAGCACCCCAGCCCTGCAGCTATCACACACCCGGCAGTGCCGGTGGGCGCTCGGGGCTGAGCCAGTGGGCAGCTGCACCCATCTGCCGCTGCGGTTCCTCTGCACCGGCCCTGGCACAGGGCCGCATCATGCCGGGTCATGCCCAAGCAAGGCATTGGGCTGCATCTCTGCCGCGGCCGGGTGCCTGCGTCTGAGTTCTGGCCCCCCGGTGTTGCAGGGTGCTTGCAGAGCGTGGGGCAGGCTGTGCCCGGGTTGCCAGAGCGAGAGCTGCGTGGAGCAAAGGTAAGAGCGAAGCAGCCCCGATGGCTGCCCTGGCCTCCTCCATCACCCAGCTGCTGCTGGGTGCACCGGCCGGCACACGGACAGGGTGCCCTCCCTGGCTGGGAGCTGCAGCCTGGACATGGCCGTGGTGCCATGGCTTTTCCTCCTGCCCCCAGCTTTCTCCCTGCTCCTTGCAGCCCCGGGAGGGCTCTTGGTCTGACTGATCCCTCCCAATGCCATGGTGAGTCCCCTCCTACGCTGCTTGCCGCTCGCTGCCCCCAGCCTGGTGCGCCCGGCAGAGGAGGGGTCTCAGCCAGACCCGGGCTGAGCGTGGCCCAGCGCGATGTGCTGCCCATGGCCCTGGTCCCACGGGAGCACCCGACGGCAGCAGCCCTCACTACCTGTGAGTGAGACCAATCCTGGGAGTCCGTGTTTTTAATCGGAGAGCTTGTCCCGGCACCGGCGGCTCCACCGCATGCTCCTCCACCTACCCAAGCTGCTGCCAGCCCTGAGTGTTTAGTTTACCGTGGGCTTTGCTTCTTGCCTCCTGGTTGTTCATCACCTGGGTAATGTTTGTTTTGCCCAGAATATCCCATCCCCGGGAGAGTCCTCACCCCTGGCTGCCCTCAGCACCCGGCTGGACCATGATGGCCCCGTGGCCAGTTCGGGGACACCAGGGAGGGCGTCACAGATGGTGGCTGCAGTATCCCTGTGCCGAGCAAGAGCAGGCTGACGCTCGGGGCAGGGGTTGGGGCCATCGTGAACCCCTTTCCCTTTGCTTTGCCAGCGCCATGGCTCAGCCCAAGGGCACGGTTGTCCTCGCCTACAGCGGGGGCCTCGACACCTCCTGCATCCTGGTGTGGCTGAAGGAGCAGGGCTACGATGTCATCGCCTACCTGGTGAGCCCCACATGGACCTCATCCCCAGGGGCTGGGGGTGGAGGGGACACTGGGTCATGGGTCTGGGGACCTGGGTGGGTGACGGGGGTCCTGGCATGTGCGTGGCCATAGCCGTGACCCCGCTCCCGCTGGTTAACCATTGGCCAGCCCACGTGCTGCTCTGCTGAGCTGCCAGCCCTCTGCGGCACAGCCTGTCTCTGCCAGCACATGACCCTCCGCTAATGAGGGCAGCGCATCAGGGCAGAGCCAAGGGCTTGGCAGAGGAAGGTATGGCCCCGAGGTATGCCATCTCGGGGGGCAACCCCCCTCCTGCCTACCCTGGGTGGCCTCAAGCCCGGTCAGCACAGGCTTTGCCGTGCCTCACATGATGCCCCATGCTGGGCTGAGCTTGCGCTGGGTTTTGTGGTCTCCTTTCAAACTCAGTCTTGGTTTTTTCACTCCTTCCAGGCCAACATCGGGCAGAAGGAAGATTTTGAGGCGGCACGAAAGAAAGCGCTGGCGCTGGGGGCCAAGAAGGTAACGGCATCCCTCCCTCCGGGTGCCCAGGGAGCTCTGAGCTCCCCTGCTCCCTGCCGTGGGGCTGAGCCCTGGGGTCTCGCATACCCCACGGCTGGGGCCACTATGTGGGGGGACAACGCCAGCGAGGAATCCCTTTTCCAGAGGTTTTGCACCAAAGCCTTTTAGCAGCATCTAGGAAAGGGGAGGAGAAGGGACCCTTCGCCATGCCACCCCCCAATGCCCCAGAGGAGCGGGATCCCACCCCCAGCCACCCTCCCATCACGGGGCTTCCTCCATCCTGGCAGGTTTACATCGAGGACATCAGCAGGGAGTTTGTGGAGGAGTTCATCTGGCCGGCGGTGCAGGCCAAGCTCTCTATGCAGAGGAGCGGGATCCCACCCCCAGCCACCCTCCCATCACGGGGCTTCCTCCATCCTGGCAGGTTTACATCGAGGACATCAGCAGGGAGTTTGTGGAGGAGTTCATCTGGCCGGCGGTGCAGGCCAACGCTCTCTATGAGGACCGGTACCTGCTGGGCACCGCGCTGGCACGGCCCTGCATTGCCCGAAAGCTGGTGGAGATCACCCAGAGGGAGGGAGCCCAGTATGTCGCCCACGGGGCCACCGGCAAGGTGAGGGAGGATGGGGGCACTGGAGCGGGGATGGCGTGGGGTGCTTGGGGGGAGACCCAGTCAGTCCCTTGGCCAAGCTGTAGGTGCCAGGAGGGGTGCACAGGGCGTTTTGTGGGTGCTCTGCAGGGAAGTATTTTGACACTTCCTTCTCGCTTCTGGGATTTCTGTGCCCGATTTCGGTTCCCTCTCCCTGTCGGGAAGGCTGGGGTCACAGCCAAACCCCCCCCACTTTCGGCAGCAGCTTTCTAAAAGCTGCTACGGGCAGGGGCTGCCCGGGCCAGGACCCGGCTGGGGCTGAGCCAGCACCTCCCGGGGCGTTTCGGGGCACCCCGGGCAGGGTGCGCGGTCTCGGTCCCTGGCCCGGGCCCCGTCCCCATCCCCCGC